AAAGAAAGAAAGAAAGAAAGAAAAGGGAAAAAGTCTCCAGTCGAACAGAATAAAGGCTAAGATGGACAGCCAGAGACGAAGCGTGCATCTCCCCATCCTCGAGTTCACTTTGTGCTCGCCACTGTTCCCATCAAAGAGCCACCGTCATGCTAGTGCGGAGCAAAATTTTCAAAAAAGATTTACCATATCGATGAAAAAAAAAAAAGAGTCAGCATCACTGCCAAGGACATCAGATAATGTCTTCACCCGAATTGAACGCCTCGTCAATATAACTGCATTTGGGAAGACCCTCAGTCCAGATACAGCAATAACGACCAGGGGGCGTTCTATTCGGTTGAAGACGGTAGGACAGCGAGGAGACCAGAATTTACGGTAGAAGCAATTCCTCCTGCTGCTGCAATAGAACTGCCGTCCTCACCCCGAATAGAACGCCCCCCGCCCCCCCGAAAGTCGTTACTGACAGTATCTAGACTGAAAGTTGCCCTAAATACGGCTTTAATGACCGTGCATTCCGTTCGGGTGAAGACAGACGGTTGCAAGATGCAGAAGGCAGCAGATAAAACCACACTAAAGATTCAAAACAGAGAGGACTTACCGACGGGCCTACATTCTTCCCCCCGAATACAACGTACGGTCATTATAACTGTGTATCTAGACTGAAAGATGCCTCAAATACAGCTATAGTGACCGTGGGTTGTATTCGGGGGAAGAAGGTACTTCAGTTGGTACACCCCCCCTGGACTGTTTTTGAAATACAGACTCAAGTTCGAATCCAGATAAATATATATTATATTGTCACACTGTGAATCAGAGCGCGAAGGCGAAAAAAACGCAAACCAGGGAAAGGAGAAGAAGCAAGGAAGGAAAGGGAAAGCTCCACCTGTTCATCACCTCTTACGTACAAGGCCAGCCACGTGGATGACAGGTTGAGTGCTGGCTGCCCCCATCCCCATGTGTCACGAGGACCCACTTGCACACAGCCAAAAGGCAAAAAAGAGGTAAAGAAAAGGAGGAGGAAACCAGACCTCACAGAGGCAAGAGAAAGAGAAAGCGAATTTAAGCGATCCAATCAAAGAAAAGACGAGGGAAGAAAGCAAATGACACATCCCACAGATTAACCAATTGCCATTGTCACTACAAGGTTCAACATATTCTTTTATTTTTCTCTCTTTCTTTTTTCTTGTTTTCTTTTTCTTTT